CGAGTCGTCGGCGGGAGGGCGGTGCGGCGCGGCGGGCGCCTACCAGGAGGGCACGCCGCTGGGCGGCAAGGTGGTGCTGGCCGCCGCGCTGGCGCTGCTCACGCTGGCCACCATGCTGTCCAACGCCTTCGTCATCGCCACCGTGTCCCGCACCAGGAAGCTGCACACGCCGGCCAACTATCTCATCGCCTCGCTGGCCGTCACCGACCTGCTGGTGGCCATCCTGGTCATGCCCGTGAGCACCGTGTACACCGTGACGGGCAAGTGGACGCTGGGCCAGGTGGTGTGCGACGTGTGGCTGTCCTCGGACATCACCTGTTGCACGGCCTCCATCCTGCACCTCTGCGTCATCGCGCTGGACCGCTACTGGGCCATCACGGACGCCGTGGGCTACTCCAGCAAAAGGACTCCCCGGCGGGCGGCCGGCATGATCGCGCTCGTCTGGGTCTTCTCCATCTCCATCTCCATGCCGCCGCTCTTCTGGCGCCAGGCCAAGGCGGACGAGGTGTCGGACTGCGTGGTGAACACGGACCACATCCTCTACACCGTCTACTCCACGGTGGGCGCCTTCTACCTGCCCACGCTGCTGCTCATCGCCCTCTACGGCCGCATCTACGTGGAGGCCCGCTCCCGGATCCTGAAGCAGACGCCCAAGAAAGCGGGCAAGCGCTTCACCCGGGCGCACCTCATCACGGACTCCCCCGGCTCCTCCTCGTCCGTCACCTCCATCAACTCCAAGGCCCCCGAGCCGGGCAGCGACGCGGGCTCGCCCGTGTACATGAACCAGGTGAAGGTGAAGGTCTCCGACGCGCTGCTGGAGAAGAAGAAGCTCACGGCCGCCAGGGAGCGGAAAGCCACCAAGACTCTGGGGATTATCCTGGGCGCCTTCATCGTCTGCTGGCTGCCCTTCTTCATCATCTCCCTGGTGCTGCCCATTTGCAAGGACGCGTGCTGGTTCCACATGGCCATCTTTGACTTTTTCACGTGGCTCGGATATCTCAACTCCCTCATCAACCCCATCATCTACACCATGTCCAACGAAGACTTCAAGCAAGCCTTTCAGAAACTGATCCGCTTCCGATGCAGCGGCTGAAGGCGGGGCGGCCTGGACGCTGCGGAGCGGCTTGAATGCGCAGTCGTGTCCGATTCCGCAGGTAGGGGGTGGCTGCTCTTCTTCTCCCGCGGCCCTGCCCCGCGGGGCTGCCCCGGCCTCGGCTGCCCTTGGGAGCAGGGGTCCGTCAGGCGGCTTCTCCCCCACCCCCAGCCGGCATTGCCCTCCCGAGACCCCGCTGCTGCTCCTGCACCTGCCCTAGGGCAGGCGCTGGGCAGCTGCCGGAGCTCTCCAGCCAGCTCTGAAGTTGTCGGAGTCGCTACTTTGTGCATCAGCCGCCTCTGCTGGAAGCAGGTCTCGTGTCTCGCCGCTCTTGTCCCGCCCGATCACTCTTTTAAGTGAGCCAGGCAGGGCTTTAAACTGCTCCCAGGTGCTGGGAAGAGCCGGCTGATCCTGCCCAGCCCCGGCCCTGGGCGCGGGGAAGGGCGGAGGGGAGCGGGGTGCTGCGATCCCGTTGCCTAGTTTTCCCTGCAGACTCGCTTTTGCTTCAGCCCCTGTCCGATTGCATCAAACGGAGCCCAGGAACCTGAGGCGCTCCGGGCCCTAAGGCTGCAAACTGCCTTCATTTCTTTACCACGACCCTCCTGACATTTTTACACAGTTAAACGGGGGCCCTTGATAAGTGACTTGCAACAATCCAGTGCCCTTTCCACAGATTAATGAAGTCAGGCCAATTAGTGTTGAGCAACCCTCATCTTTTCAAGCTGGTTTTTGCTCTCTAACCTCAGTGTGTTTGGGGGAAGGAAGGAGAGAAAGAGAGAGAAGGAGGGAGGGAGGGAGGGAGGGAGAGAGAGAGAGAGAGAGAAAGCATATGTAAATTCCCAACAGCAGCTGACACCGTTAAAAATCACAGTGGCTCTTATTAAAGCAACCCTCCTGCAGGACTTTTCAAAGGCGAAGGTTTCCTCTTGCCCTGATTGGCAGCACCACACGCCCACTCAAAGCCTCTGTTGATGCAGCATTATGTACCTTCCTTTCCTAGGACAAGAGAATAAGAAAGTCCATGTGGCTCATCACTTTCTTCTTTGTAACGCTGTGTTACGCAGCATTGACTGAAATGCAAGCATGGCCTGTCTTTTCTATTTTTTGCCAAGGCAAAGTCAACTTCAGCACTTCCAGTGTAGCTCAAAGAACTTCAGAGGTCTTTGGGCAATACTTGGACAGCGAGGTGCCATTCATAGAATATAATGCCCAATGAATAAGTATGACAGTGTGATTACTGCTGTCTAGCATAAATCTCATCTACTTCCATCTTTCAGAACAGCAAAGAGGAGTTACTTTTGGAGATGGAGGGATAAGGAAACTTTTTTTTTTTTATTGTGCAGATGAAGCCTGATCCAAAGTTTACAGATATCCAGGGCAAATAATGTATGTCTGTTGACTTTGTATCAGGCTGCAGTTTAAATGTGACTTCAAACATCCTGCATCTTACTACTCCCCAGATTCCTTTTCAGTCCAGAGGGTGAGACTGGAGGTGGGAGCTCAGATGAAACAAACCATTTTAACAAAAAGACTAACGAGGGATTCATCATGCCAGCACACTCAGACAACTGCTTACTTCAGATGCTGAAAAGCTGTATCTAACTATACATGTAACTTGGCATGTGCTGTGATATCTGTCCTTCAGTGCACTTCTCTGCAGAATATCTATTGTCTTTATTGTGACACTTTTAATAATTCTCCAAATCTCTTCCTTTTTGTCTGCAGAATCAAGTTGCTATTGTAAAGACCCACGGCTTGAAACTCCCCAACCCCAGTTGTCAGACTCATGAGGCTGCAAAAACGTCAATACATTCTGCCACCAAACTGTTCAGCCCTGCATTTCAGTGTAATGACTGTCGCAGAGATGCTGTTCCAGTATAGTCACACACATCAGTTGCAAACAAACAAACAAAACAGAGGGCAACTTGGAGTACGGAGGCTTATAACCCATCTGGGCTGGAAAAAAAGTTGGAGAGCAAACTATTTATTTTGCAGGCTTACTTTCTAATTATTCTTTTGCAGGTTGTAGGGGTGTGCACAAAAGCACAGTTACTGTGTGTGTAATATTAGCCTTTTTGTATTTAAGTGTGCACTTGTAATTTCTTCTTTTCAGCAGAAAGAGTTGTTAATTTCACTTGCAGGGCCTGGAGGAAAATTGGGACATTTTTTAAAATAGGAACATTGCAGTACGCTGTGTAAATGAACTCCTTCAGCTGAATATGAGAGAGAGGTAGGAGTGTGCAGATTATATCTGGATTGTAAAACAAGGCAAATGCAAGTAAACTTGTAATAAGAGTTCTGTACACATTCATCTGCATTGCACACACATGGCTGACTGTCTTCATCATTACCTTCATACATTAATACTTCTTGCTTCTACTCAGTCCAGGAATGGAAAACAAAGAAGTCCTGTGACCTTTGCCTTTAACCAGCTGGGAATAGGAGCAGTCATTTTGATGTTGTAACTCAAGTTTTCCATTTTTGTGTCAGTTGCACACCCTTACTACATGGAACACCAAGGACTACATAATCTTATGAAATACCTCTATTATCTAGTGTTCTGCTCTGTAGAGAAACAAAGCAGTTTGCTCTTTCAGAAGAGCTACATCACCTGCAAAACAAATATCTACCCATCAAAATAAGTACCTGGGAGTGAAATTGCTCTCCTCCCATTATCTTTTTATTTCATTTCCCCCTTTTATTTCGATAAGACCTTAAAGCACTACTAAACTCCAGCAAGTCAAAATTAGAGTTTCAGAACATGGTCCACCTGCTGTGATAGAACTGCATTGAGTGTTCCTCCTATGTATAACTGAAAATGAAGTATAAACAATAAAAAGCTTTACTGTCTCCTCAAAAGTATTTGGTAGCAATTGTGTTACTAATGGGAATATTTATTGATTCACAATATTGTCCCTTTTAAGTAAAGCTTATTTAACAAGTCACTGAAGAACGTGATTGAGGGCTGAAATGGCTGCTTGCAATCAAGAGTCACATTTTTAAACAAAGCTTGAGTTTTAAGCTTGAGCATAACATCTAAGACTTTATGTACAATCTCAGATTAAATTTAAATAAATAAAATACATTCTTAATAAAATATATCTTATTACCTTAAGAATAAAGAACTACTTTATTACTCAAATGGCACTGTAATTCTTGCTAAGTTTTAAAAATGTATTTCAGATGAATCCCATCAAACAGAGAAAGAAAAATATTATGGGACTTATTCTGCTTAAATGCAGCCAGATAACCACATGCTATTCTCCAGTGAGTCATTTAAACATTATGGATTTACCTATTTAATTGAACAGCAAATAAAAAAAATTAGAACACTGAGCCCTCATTCCTTGTGCATTCAGAAGTCCTATTAATTGCAGAGGGAGGTGTCCTGCCTGTGTGAAAGGAATACAAAACTGAGCCTCCAAGCTGAAAATGTAGCCAAGGCTCAGTACGCTTGTAAAAAACCTGACAAAATCTGGAAGTTTTCCCTCAAATCTGTGTGACCCTGAAAGCAGATAAGTATTACTCCATGTTTTTGGAAAGCATTGTTTTAAATTATTACCCATGCAAACGTCTTTTTTTTTTCAAAATGTAAAACAGTTTTTCTGAATTACTGGCTTGATTCATATTTTCACATACAATTCCTTTAAAATGCCCCTTTTGCATCTGTTTTGAAATATTTTGGGACAGGTGCTAGCAAAGAATGTAGCATTTAATAATACTCATGATACAGTGTTTATTGTACTGTTCATTTACAAAGCTTCTTACAACAAAGGGGACAGTGAAATTCTTTTTATTCCAGACACTCATTGAAATTGATAGGAGTTTTGGGTGCCCAAAGAGTGGAAGATCATACCATAAACTAATTCTTACAACATCCCTGTGGAGAAGTTACATTTTATATCAATTTTACAGAGAAGAAAAGAATATAATATAAAGCCACAGAAGTCAAATGACAGAGCCAGGATTAGAACATCATCATTCTTGGTCCTCAGACTGGTAGAGTATGTGTCTTTCTCCAGCCACCGCAGTACTGACATTAAATGTTTTTGGCCCAGAGTCATCATTTGGCAGTTTTGTTGAGTGGTGGCTGGAATAATTTGTCAAGGAATTATATTTCCAAGTTTATGCTGAAGTCTGACTTTTTAGCACAAACAAATATGCTTCAGTTAATGATATTCACTGTTGAGAAGATAATCACTGTGGAGACTGCACTGAATGATTTGAGCCCAGAACAAGGAAAACAAGCAAAACCCTGCCGCTTAAATGTATTCCCAGCCACAGGATTCAATACTGGCTGAACTCTGTGTATTACTAATAAGTAGATGAATAAACCACTCATACAGGAAAAATGGCCAAGTAAAAGAGCACAGTACAGGAGGAAGTAGCCTGGCACACAATGCACAGAATTCACCATGGTGTTAATTGCACGCACTTTTTTCTTCTACTTCCAAAGGTATACAGCAATGCAAGGCACAGTGGGAATGAAATTAGGACAAGTTACAGCCAAATTGAACAAGTAACCATACAAAAATATTTGCAAAGACTGACTCTTAAGCCTCTCATTTGAAGATAAAGGAATTTCCTCTTTTGGCTTTATATTAAGAATCCACAAAACCTGCCAGTCTTGGGAAAATCAATGTACCCCATGCTAACTTCTCTGCAGCATTCCCCTTTCTTGGGAGGACATATTGCACTGCTATAGCTGGACCATGACTGACATGACTCCTAATTGAACTGGACTGTTAAGGCACACAGGGGCCCCACAGAGCAGCATTAAGGCTTTGACATCCTTTCTACAGAGGACACCTCCAGGATTAGAGAATCACAGAAAACCATTCTATAATCATTAGGATTTGTTCCCTGGAAAGGATATGGCATCAAAACCCTCCTCACTTCTCAAGATCTTGCAGGAGGCTGCAAAATTATCCATTTCTGGCTTCCTACTCTACTTTTTCCTATAACAGGGAGCCTTATCTCTGCATCCCCTTTGAATAAGCCTCCGCTCCTTCAAGCCCCTGTAAGCAAATGCCTAAAATTCTGAAGGTAGTTAATTCACAGTATTGTTACCTTCCTTATGAAAGCAGCATGTCTTGCCCTGAAACAAAATCACGATCTTCAAAAGCCTTGCATGTGATAATGCAGTACAGTTAAGACAAAAGAAAAACTGGGCACTGAACCTTGAAATAATGGGGAGCCTGTAAATGTGGTGTTTCCCATGTCTGCAGATCAGGTATACTTGTGAAAATGAGGTTCTGGTGCTGCTGACTGATGGGCATGTCAGGAAAGGGAGACATCTGTGAGTGTTCAAGAATAGTTGTAATTGAGGTATTGGCTCTTTAAAGCCCCACTCTGTGCTACTTTCCTGTATGCCTAAGTATAACAAGCATTTTTCTCTCTCTCTTTCTCTCCCCCTACCCTCCCTTTCATAACAGGATATTTAAAGAGAGGAAGTTACCCGTGGTAGTCTGAAGTTAGGGAGAATGCAGGATAGTGGACAGCTTGTAGACTAACTCATTCAGAGAGGCATATTTAAGTTAAGGGGAAAAAATACCCTTTCCTCCTTCAATGCACATATGCAGCAGTAGGATAAAGTAAATCCCTAATAAGTTTTTATGAAAATTGTGAATATGTCATGGACCAATGGGGCATTTTCAGCCACAGCAATTTTCTGTCCTGGTTTTTATACCCCTTTCGTTACCACAGTATATGACTATTATGTGCTGATCCCAAGAGCCTGTAAGACTTTGGAGGGTGGAAATGGAAGTTAGTACTCTTTTTTGGAGTAGAATCCTGAGCTCCCCCATAACTTTCCAGGAGATGTGCTATTCTCTGTTAGTAGACCCAGGCCATCTGTCCTATAGTCACTGCTTCCCATGCACCTCTGTTGAAGAACAGCAGGACTCCTCAGTAAATAAACACACTTGCATAAATAAACACATTTACATACCAATCATAAGAAAATCCAGAACAGCAACTTAACAAGTTTCTTCTAAAGGAAAGTGAAAAATTAACGGCATTAGCCATCACATGAAAACTAGTGATAAAATTCACATTGCTAAATACAGACAGAGCTGTTGTGCAGTACGAGATGGGAATTTTGCATTAGTCCAAGTATAGAAATTTTAATCAATTCTAAAAATGTGAAAGGCTTTGGAGAATGGGAATAAAGAAAACACAAGGTAAATATAAAAAAAGGGAGGCCCCAGGAAGTCATGGAGTGGAAAATTTGGCCTGGTTGTTAGGTAGAGCTTAGGAAATAGAAACGAATGGGCAAGATACCACTTTCCTGGTGTTCAGGTTTGCAGAACTTCACACTAGGCAGGCAAACAAATATTTTAGAGAAAGGAATCATATTCAGAGAGATTTAGGAAAATGAGGGGTATGTTTCCAAATTCAGTAAGATATTTAAGTACATGCCCAATTCTAAAACCATAAGTGATCTCATAAAAGTTTGCAGCTAGATTTATTTTCATTATAAAGAAGATGGTGATAGATTCTTTTCTGTGTCCACAAAGGACAATTAATATATGTTTTAAATTGCAACAATGAAAATTTATGCTGGATATTCAGGGGGGAAAAACCCCATCTTTCTGACTATGAGGGCGGTTAAGCACTGGGACCGTTTACCTAGAAAGCTGTAGAATCTTTATCACTGGAAGCTTTTAAGAGTAGTTTGAATAAACAGGTAGCTTATACAGGCATGATCCTGCCTTAAGCATAGGGTTGGACTTGATAGTTTCCTGAGGTTTCTGCCAGCCCTACTTTTCTATGATTCTATGTTCCTTGATATTTCAGGGCCCTAAAGGACAAATGGTTTAAAAGTTTAATTTTAGATAAATGTAAGATTAAGAGTTTTGTTTTAAAGGGAGTCAGAAACAAGAGAGATGTCTGTTGTTTTTACAAACAGATATATTGCATGCGATATAAAAATGGATTTGGACCCAAAAGGTTTCTTCTCTCTGTCCTGCATGTGATATAGCAGAGCAGAATGGAGAACAAAAGAGGAGCAACACCACTTGATTCAGGAGAAGTAGGCAGACATATTAGACATGGGCCCTTTGTGATAAAGGACTAAGTAGAAAATAAAAACCTTATTAAATATTAGTACTGAATAGACAGATGGGAGCAGACAGCTTATGAGGAAGACACATGAACATGAGCACTGCTACTGTTCAAATGCAGTCTTTAAAAGCTGGTTCATATTACTTAAATAAAAACAGGGGTTCCAGAAATATAAGAAAAGCAGTATCCATGACAAAGTCCATATATAATATAATTAAACATAACAGCAAATATCATGAATAATATTTAAACCAGACATAGGACGATGACATAAAAAAGCAAAAACAAACACCCCCCCCAAACCCTAAGCTTTTTAATCAAGCAAATATTAAGCTTGAAAGATGTAATATAACAGTAGACTCAGTGGGCTAGGTGAAGAGGAGATCCACAGGATATCAAATTTACAATATAGAGATCAAAATCTTTACTGAGTCACTTTCAAGAGCTAGAGAAAGGCTACTATTCTTCTCAGAGATCAAACTCCCTACACTCCTCATTATGAAGGAACTACATTTTTTTTATTTGTCTTTATACAAATATAGCTCTGAAAGATACAAAGCACACACAGTTCATGGCTGTAGGGCTTTCTGTAAGTAATAAATTGCATCTTCTAATCTGAATTGTCTTAGATCAGGACAGGTATGGCTCTTGTGATCATTATATAAAATAATCCCCTTTTTTCTTCATAATCTCTTCCCTATCAAGAGTTGAGGTAAAAACTGTAATGACAGTAAAAGAAAAGCTTAATCTGGCAAATTTAGTCATTAATTAGTTTTAATTTCTTTCCTAAATACACTTGGGATAAGATAAATGGATTAAAAGTAACTCCAGAATTCAAAGGGGGCATTTCCTTTCCTCCAGATATCTCTTGAGGCCCTAATATTCTATTATTGATTTCTTGAAAATATTTTTTGAACATTTTGTTCTTCCTGGCTATAATTAAATTATCTTGCATTAATACTCCTATAACAATGATTCCATATTAAGTAAAGTTCCCTATTCATTCTTTTTTTCCTCTAAACATTCAAAATTATTTTCATTCATTTTTATCTGTATGTTTCAGTAAACCAGATGTAAACCAGATACACTGAATCTTGGATTTTCACATGCAGATGAAGGACATTGAAGAGTTCCTAGGATACACTGGCCATTTAAGGTCAATTAATTACAGAAAGGACACGAGAGAGAAATAAACATTTCAAAGATAGGAAAGGAAAATGATAAGGGACTACCTGATAACTTATACTGCAGTGGAGTAGAGTTCTCTCAAGAAGAGATGAAAAGACAGCCATTTTCTCAGATGCTGAAGAATGAGTGAGGGTAGATACATTTAACCCTTATGAACTAAGGTGAAAAGTCAGGAATTAGGTATTCAAATCTGAATAGAGGAGATAAAAATAATTGAAGTGAAATTTTTTTCTTTATTAATGGTGGACCTATGACACAATTTTCAGAATACCACTAAACAATAAAGTGGTAAATCTTTATCCCCCATGATTTGGTAGTGTTGTCGTGACAGAGCTGTGATGGTCCAGGAAATATGGGAAAGATAAGGATTTC